CGTATTGAAAAAAATAAAATAAAAAACAGCTTGATTGAAGTGTTTTTTTAAAGAATGTTTTTAATTGACCATAAAGGAGTGGGTTTATTTCTGGGCTCTCTGTTCTGTTCCATCAATCTCTATGCCTGTTCTTATGCTAGTACTAGGCTGTTTTGATTATAATGGCCTTGTATAGTTTGACATCAGGTATTGTGATACCTCCAACTTTGTTTCTTCTTAAGATTGCTGTGGGTATTTGGGATCTTTTTTGGTTTTCATATAAATTTTTGGAATATTTCTTCTAGATCTGTGAAATATGCCATTGGTATTTTAATAGCAATTGCATTTAATCTATCGATTGTTTTGGGTAGTATAAACATTTTAATTATGTTAATTCTTCCAATCCATGAACATGGTATATGCTTCCACTTATTCCTGTCTCCCTCAATTTCTTTCTTCGGTATCCTATAATTTTCTGAGTACAGGTCTTTTACCTCTTTGTTTACATTTATTCCTAGGCACCTTATTATTTTTTCAATAGTAAGTGAGATTGTTTTCTTAATTTCTCTTTCTGAGAGTTCATTATTGGTGTACAAGAATGCCACTGATTTCTGAATGTTAATTTCGTATCCTGCTACTTTGCCAAGTTCATTTCATTAGATCTACTAGTTTTTTGGTGAAGTATTTGGGGTTTTCTTACACAACTTGGCCATAAAAAAAAAAAGGAAATCTTACCTTTGAGATAGCATGGATGGACCTGGAGATTATTATGCTAAGTGAAATGAGCCAGTCAGAGAAAAACAAATACCATATAATCTCACTTCTATATGGAATATAATGAACAAAATAAACTGACAAACAAAACAGAAACAGAGGCATGGACACAGGGACCAGACTAGGACACAGGGACAGCTGTCAGAGGGGAGGGGGGGTTGAGGGACTGGATGAAAGAAGGTAAAGGGATTAAGCAAAACATATATATATATATATATATATATGATCACAAAGACACAGCAGAGTGGTGATAGCCAGAGGGAGAGAGAAAGGTGGGGAAAATGGGGATGGAAAGAGACTGCTTGGGGTGATGGGCACATGATGCAGTGCGCAGATGATGTTTTATTGAGTTGTACACTTAAAACCTATGTGGGCCCAGTCAGCATGGCTCAGTGGTTGAGCGTCAACCTATGAACAGGAGGTCACGGTTTGATTCCTGGTCAGGGCACATGCCTGGGTTGTGGCCTTAATCCCCCATGTGGGGCATGCAGGAGGCAGCCGATCGATGAGTCTCTCTCAACATTGATGTTTCTCTCTCTCTTTCCCTCCTCTTACCTCTCTGAAATCAATAAAAATATATTAAAAAAATTTTTTGAGTTAGAAAAAGAGTAACAGCGCCAGCCTGCGGACTGAAGGGTCCAGGTTCGATTCCGGTCAAGGGCATGTACCTTGGTTTCGGGCACATCCCCAGTAGGGGGTGTGCAAGAGGCAGCTGATCGATGTTTTTCTCTCTTTGATGTTCCTAACTCTCTATCCCTCTCCCTTCCTCTCTGTAAAAAATCAATAAAATATATTTAAAAAAAGAAAAAGAAAAAGAGTAACAGTAAAGAAAGTAGAAAGAAGAAAATACTATAAAACTTATATATGTAGAGGGCAACCTGGGATTGGATGAAATATTTTATGTTTGAAGGAGGGTGAAAAATAAGGTCCAAAACAGGAAAAGAGAAAACAGAAAACCCAACCCTTAAGCTCCGTGGCACAGGGTTTGCAGTTAAAGGTCATATAGGAATGTGTTAGTAAGAAGCATCTGACTCCCCATACAATACAGCCTCAGCCTGTTGTGACAGGAGCTTTTCTTAATAGCCTCCTGGATAGTCATATATTACCAAGGACAAACTTCCTTCCAGGAAAGAATACAACTTATTTTTAATTCGACTGCAAATGCCACTATTTGATTCTGATTCAATGAGGTGGTATCTTATTGTAGTTTTGATTTGCATTTCAAATGCTAGTGAAGTTAAGCATTTTTTCATGTATCTGTTGGCCATTTGCATGTCTTCTTGAGAGAAGTGTCTGACATATATATTTTTAAAACATATTTTTATTGATTTCAGAGAGGAAGGGAGGGGAGAGAGAGATAGAAACATCAGTGATGAGAATCATTGATCCTCCTGCATACCCCCTACTGGAGATCAAGCCTGCAGACTGGGCATGTGCTCATGCCCAGGAGTTGAACCTGGGACCCTTTAGTCTGCAGGCCGATGCTCTATCCACTTAGCCATATCAGCTAGGGCTTGATGTATATTTTTTATTGTAAAGTACTTTCTTCCTTTTTTATACAAAATATGTGGGTGATCCTTTGAGACTGTGAATATCATGTTCTCAACAACTTTAAACCTAATGTTTTAATATATGTTGACTTCTTGCATAAGTCATTACTAAGGAGATTGGAAAATGGTGATTTCCTAATTCTATCATTCTTTCTGCATTTATTAGTTGGCTTTCTATGCTTATCCCCTTTACATTTTAAAAGCATTGTCAGTATGGATAACTCATGGATCTTTTTTTAATTAGCATGTTATAATCTACTGTTAACCTTGATCCCAAATTTTCTCTAATTTGACTAGTAGAAGTCCTTCAAGCTAGCTCAGGTGTCCTTTGGCATGGTCCCATCAATTTACGAGCACTTGCTTACTTTAAGCACAAGCAAATGTTCCAGGTTCACTTTGTACTTTCCTTGCCACAGCCCTAAAATTAGCCATTTCTTCAAGGAATGTTGTTTCCTTTGAGTGGGGAATAGTTTTTAGAAACCGAGATCTGGGCATTAATTGTGCTTTTGCCCCTGGGTTGAGTTATCAGTATTAACATAGGTAGTATGAACATACATAGTATAAATATATAGTATTATATGTATCAGTGTAAATAAGTAAATACACACACATATAATACACGCATACATATTGACATCTCTAATTCCAACCCAATACAACACCACAGGTTGTTTTTTTTTTCCTTTTCTTCTGGGATCCTATTCTGCATGAAGGTCAAGTAAGGCCCCTCTAAGAAAGTAATATTTGAAATGAAATTGGAATAATATTTAGGAGCCAGCCATGCAGACTCTAGAAGCAGATTATTATAAACAAAGGGAACAATAAGTACAAAAGCCTAAGGCAGAAATAAGTGCGGTATGTTCAAAAAACAGAACAGCCAGGTGGCTGGAATGTACTGAGCTACTGGGAGGTGATTTGAAATGAAGTCTATCAGGCAGGAAGGAATTGCTTCGTATAAAGCTGTAGAGGAGATGGTTAGGAGTTTGGAATTTTAGTACAATAGAAAGACATTGGAAGATTTGTGGAAGGGAATTGTGGTAATCTGATTTATGTTTCAAAATATCACCCTGTTTAGTAAATGAATGTTCAAAAGCAAGAAAAAAAAAGTAGGGAGATAGTTATGAGACTTTCAGTAATATAGGCAATCTCTTCATTTATTAAATATGATTTATCTCTTGGGAAGATATGCACGGGTCTGATCATGAGTAATTTAAACACAGAAGGTAATGTTATATTTTGTTGTTTTTCCTGAGAGAAAGAAAAAAGGAACTAATTACATGGAGAGTATTTAGAAGAAAGAAAAAAATGATTAATTATATAGTAGGTGTCAGAAATACCTGAAAACCATAAATAGAAATCTGGCTAAGGGTCTCTCAGATTAGGGATTAACTCTGATTTATCTAGCTTGAGTAAGGTGTCTATGAACATAGCTGCTCCCATTTTCTTTCTTTTAAAACAATATTTTTATTGATTTCAGAGAGGAAGGGAAAGGGAGAGAGAAACATCAATGATGAGAATCACTGATTGGCTGCCTCCTGCATGCCCCACACTGCAGATCGAGCCCACAACCCGGGCATGTGCCCTGACCGGAATCGACTGTGACCTCCTGGGTCATAGGTCCACACTCAACCACTGAACCACGCTGGCCGGGCGCTGCCCCCATTTTCATCAGAGTGGGGTGAGGGGTGAGGAGCCACTCAGAAACAGACACAGGACAGGGGAAAGAAAATTATTTTATAGATTATTCAGATTGTTCCCGTTTCCCTTAGAGGAGCAAAATTATATTGCTTGCCAGCATAATGACATATTAATATTTGAATAGTAGGTGGTTTATATATTTAAAATTTGGAAAAGGGAGGGAGATATTCCACCCAGCCCCACCGCATTGAAATTAAATTGAAACTGTAAATAGTACAATGAAATGCTATGAATGTTTTATTAAAAAAATATACTGCACCCAGCCAGTGTGACTCAGTGGTTGAGCGTTGACCTATGAACCAGGAGGTCACAGTTCAATTCCTGGTCAGGGCATATGCCCAGGTTGTGGGCTTGATCCCCACTGCAGGGCATGAGTCTCTTTCATCATTGAATATATATATATATATATATATATATATATATATATATATATATATGTATATTGCCCTGGTCAGCCTGGTCAGTGTGGGTCAGTTGATTGGGCTTCATCCTGGGCACTGAAGCTTGCTAGTTCTATGCTGGGTCAGGGCACATGCCCATGTTGAAGGCTCAGTTCCTAGTGGGAGACATGCAAGAGGCAGATGGTTAAGAGGCAGATGGTTGATATTTCTCTCTCTCTCTCTCTCTCTCTCTCTGTCCCTCACCCTTCCTCTCTCTAAAAATCAATTAAAAAATATCTTACCTGAAGATTTCTTAAGGTATTCCTTCTGTATTATGAAATGCACTTGCATTATTTTGTACTATTTATTATGTCCTTTGATGAGATAAAAGGAGTTAAGCTTAATATTCATGATATTACTCTAGTTCTTCCTGTAATTTTGTTCTTAGGAATAAGAATCAGCAAGGGAAATAGACCACCCTATGGTAAAAAAAAAGAAAAAAAGAAAAGAAAAGCAATATTAGCATGGACATGTTAAGAGACTCAGAAGCTAGTGATTCAGTTTTAACTCTACTGATTTTAGTGTATACAAAGTTCCAAAAAGAAAGTCATTCAATATTATGTTGAAGGTTTTATATTTCAACCTTCGTATTTCTTCCTGAAAATATTTCCTTAATGCTGTCATATTTTTATCATCATAAAGTGTCATATTCAGTACATTCTTCTAATGGAGTGGTTGACGGGTATGGAAATCCTTTTTCCATTAGAGGTTCCTTGAGAAAAGATATTGCAGAGCTCCTTCTCACTAGAGAGTCATCAGAATACCAGTCATCAGCTGCTTCTATAGTTTCGCTGTAGTAAGAATCGGATGGTAACGTCGATGAGTTTAAGGATGTATTGCTGCTCTTTGCTGTTGAGCTGGTCTCTGTAGGGTCATAAATGACCTTTTTTGTTGCAAGGCAGTATTCCTCTTTAGAGTGGTCTTTACTTGCTGTAAAAGAAAATTAGATTTACTATGAATATTACAGATTCATGAGCCAAATCTTAATTATAAGGACAATGTTTCTGTTAAAAATTAGAATCTTGCCCTGGTTGGTGTGGCTCAGTGGGTTGGAGCATCGCCCTGTACACTGAAAGGTTGCAGGTTTGATTCCCAGTCAGGGCACATACCTAGGTTGTGGGTTCCATCCCCGTTGGGGCCCATTTGGGAAGCAACTGATCAATGTTTCTCTCTTTCTCTCTCTCTTCCTTACCCTCACTAAACTCAATAAACATATCTTCGGGTGAGGATTAAAAAAAGAATCTTTTTAGGGTTATAATGGACAGGATGATGATATAGTGAAAATTCTGAGTTGCTATCTTCATATGTACAATGTTTAATATGTAATTGGGAATTAGCAATATTTTTATGATAATCAAGAGTAGAAAGTCTATTCTAAATAAAATCAAGCTATAAACAGAAGAAGATTCTAAACAGGATAGATATATCAGTTCTGGAATATCCCTTAAAATTAGAAAAGACAGATAGTTTCTTAACTATGTATAGCTAAATATTGCCTTATTTTTAAAAAATGCATGCCTCCTTGAGTAGGCAGATTACAAAATGTTTGGTCTGCAGTGGAAAGGGCCTTTGAGTTGGCTTTATACCAATAAAAGTAACAACTAATATTCCTATAGTGTCTTACAATTACAAAGCAGTTCGATAGATTTCCATATTTCAATTATACTCTCAGTAACCCTTTACGGTAGTTATTATTCGCACCATTTTACAAGAGAAGACTGAGAATTAGAGAAACGACTCACCACAGATCAGATGTAAAATGGACTTCAATCTAGATTTTTGTTACTCTAATCTCATGCTTCTCTTATTACATTATTTATGCTGAAAGTTGGTATTTAAAATGTTGCTTTAGAGAAAATCACGTCTACAATATCCTAAAACATCTTTTACTATATTTTACATATTAACTTTTGACATTAATGTGTAATAATTTTTAAAGCTCTTTTAAATACCTTGTTACATTTTATACTTAGTATTTCTAAAATTATGTAGGAGGATAATATTTTGAGACACTACACATAATATATACGATTTAAAGGGTTATAAAACACTCAGGTCTTTTGACCCTCTGGCATTACTACATGGCAATGACTATGATACCTTTGGGTATAAATAAGGAACAAAAATTAAAATTTCACATTTTAATTTAAGATATAACATTGCAAGTTTTGTTTTCTAAAAAATATATGGTCATTCACATACTAATAAATTAAGGTTTTCCTTGAATTTTTATAGTTTTTAAAAATACTCATAACATTTAGGATAGCCTCTTGATTTTTTTAAGATATGAATTGCTCTAAGTTGATTACAATTTCTTCTAATAAATTTTTGAGAACAAGTACCTTTTAAATGTGCTGTTTCCTTTTTTCTTTGCTCCTCCTATATAAAAAAGTTATTTGTATTTAAAAACTGAATAGTTTTAAAATAATTTTTTTAATATATTTGACTTACATACTTAAGAATAATATATTCTAACAAATTTTTGATGGAATAATGTTTTCTTCCATGATAAGAATTTATTTCACCAAAATTTATTGACAGAAAAGAAAAAGTGTTGAGGTTCATCTAAAAGAATGTGGACTGGTTCATGAAGGCAGTCTTCAGGATAGGGATTCAAAGGGTGAAATAGAGTTAAGCAGGATTACTTCTCTCCATCCTCACTTAGAGTCACTTGGTTAGAACTAGAGAGAGCTAACAAAGTAATTAGAATTCCTAGACTTACTCATTTCATTAACTAATAACAACAACAAAGTGAATTCTGGCTGAAGGCTTTTATAAAAATGCAACTATTCTTGTGAAGCAAATAAAACATTTGATGAAACAATACATTCCAGATGTGTTGTCGTAGTTCTCAAACATCAGGCCATCAGAACCATCTGTGTGCTTGTTAAAATGATGATTCTTGAGTATCATATCAGTCCCCACTGAAACATGTTCTCTGGGAATATGCACTGTAACATACACCGCAACTGTTTCTGATGCAGGTTACCTTCGACCGCTAGAAAAACAGTGCTAGTGCACAGGGTGTTTGGGATGGAGCAGATGAAGTTGAGGCTGGAGAGAGAAACTGTCTTTTGTGTTCTGAGGAAACAGTGTTTGTGCTGATCTGCATTGTCCTGTGTACCCCTCCCCTACAGTGGGCTTGCTTAGGATATAGTACATATATAGGATATATATAAAGCTAATATGCAAAGTGTCCTCTCAGGAATTCGACCAGGAGACCAGGAGTTCGCTTGCTCATTATGATGTGCGCTGACCACCAGGGGGTGGCGCGGAACATGGCGGGTGACCAGTGGTAGCAAGGGGAGGAGGAGGTGGGGAAGCAGGGCGGCAAAGAACCTGATTGGCCCTGATTGCCAGCCAGGCCTAGGGACCCTACCCCTGCACGAATTTCATGCACCAGGCCTCTACCACTTTTTCAATCACCAACTTTACTTCTTTGTCACTTTCACCTTTTGTTAATATAAATGCCAGTATAGGCTGCTGATCTTACCTTGCCTAAATTTAGGACCAATTCAATTTGTGACTCCTATATAAATTATTTTAGAACATTGCTTCTCACACATCAATGTGCCACTATATTATCTGAGGAGGTTGTTAAAATGCATATTCTGACTCATTAGATTCTGTATTTCTAACAGGTTCCCAGGTAATACTGATATTGCTGGTCTGGGAACCACAGAGTAAAACCCTGGACTGATTTAAATTCTACCCAAACTAAGGTAATAATAAAATGGGCATTCTTATATTTGTTACATATAAATAGGTAGAATTTCTCCAGAGAGCAATTTAACAAATCTACTTCTAGAAATTAATTATGCCAAATAAATAACTTTGGATTTGTGTAAATATTTTAATATACTCATCACAACATTATTTAGTATTTTCAAAACCTGAAATTAAAATTCTTAGGAAATAGTTAAATGTATTTTATTGCATAGATATTAGTACAATAGAAATTCTTTCAACTATTAAAAATGATGCTATAGTATCAGAAGGACTCTAAAAATATGGGGACATATCAAAAAGAGAGGAACAAAAAAACAAAACAAAACAAAAAATGAAAAGAGAGGAACAGTCTTGAAAGGTTGCCCACTAGTTAAATTTGTGAAAATTTGAGCATCAAAATAATGATAGTAATGAATTTTGATCTGCTGATATATAGAAATCCATGAGTCTAGACTGACAATAAATAAATAAAATAAGAAAGAGAGCATCTTCTTCACAGTAGAAGCCAAATGATAAGCAGATGGTAGAATTGGAAAGATCGTCACTTTGCTATAGTTTTGTAAAGACTAGCTCAGGCAAGAATAATTTCTATAGCTAATATGTAGAGTTTGATGAAAAAAAGTGTATTCACATGGTTTCAAAGTGCCACCACAGATTCTTTATTAATTGCTAGGATAAAAATAGGAATAATATATTGTGGGAAAGAACAGACATCATCTTTGTGATTAACTAAAATTACTAATGAAGAGCAGATGAACACTCTATGCCTCTAGATGCGATAAACTGAATTTGATCACAAGGAAAAGTCAAATTGAGGAACAGTCTATGGTCTATAAAATAACTGGCCTGTATTGTTCAAAAATGTCAATATCGTGAAAGATGAAGAAAAGAACTTTCAAAATATTTTGAACTGAATAATGATGAAAACAAAAATAAAAATTTGTGGGAAGCAAAAGCAATGCTTGGATGGAATGTGAACATTAAATGCTTATATTAGGAAAAAAATAAAAGTCTAAGAATAATAAAATTGAAAACTCCCTAACAATACTATAATCAGAAATAAAGTGCCATCACTAAAAATTCTACAGATATTAGAAGAATAAGAGGATGCTATTAAAAATTGTATGCCAATAAACTTAACAGAGATTAAATGGAAGCACTTTCCATTCATTTTGTGAATAATTGATATTAATGTTTAACAAAGATATTACAATATAAGAAATTACAGAATAATATCCCTTGTAAACATAGATGCAAAAGTTATTTAAAATATATTAGTAAATCAAATCCAATGAGGTTTTTTCCTAGGAATACAGGTTGGTTTAACATTTGAAATTCATTGTAATCCACATTAACAAAATAAAAGAGAAAACCCATGTGAACAATTTCAAAAGATGCAGAAAAAGCATTTGGCAAAATTCAGAACTACTTATTGATTAAAAAAACCCAACCTTTCTGTAAACTAAGAATAGAAAGGAATTTCCTTAACTTGACAATATTCATCTCTAAAAATCCCATAGCTAACCTCCTACTTAATGGTGAAGAGCTAAATGTATTCTAAGATTAGAAATATAAAAAGAATATCTGCTCTCAACACTTCTATTCATATTTATAGTGGAGGTCCTACCCAATGGGATAAGATGAGAAAATAAAATAAAAGCATAGAGATTGAAAAAAAAAAGTAAAACTGATGTGTTTTGCAGATAACAAGATTGTGTATGAAGAAAATCTGCAAAAACACAGAACACAGATCAATATAAACAACAATTTTAGTAAAATCAGCAGTTCACTAAAAACTAATCTATAAACCAAATGTAATTCCCATTCCAATCTCAACAAGATTTTTTGTAGGTAGAGATAAGTTTATCTTAAAATTTATGTGACAGGCAAAAAGAACAAGGAAAGCTACAACAACGTTGAAAAAGAAGAATTAAAGTAGAGGAAACATGCTACTCAATTTGATGACCCACTATACAGCTAGAGTATGGTATTGGTAGTGCTAAACATACAGATCAATGGTGCAGATAGAAAAATCCAGAAATAGACCTACACATATAGCCCAACAGATTTTTGACAAAAGTTGCAAAAGCTTTTTCAATAAACATTACGGGAACAATTAGACACCAGTAGCCCCCCCAAAATTAACTTTGATCTAAACCTCATATCTAATACTAGTGACCTGGTGCATGGATTCGTGTACATTGAAAGGAAATTAATTAGAAGGTAGCCTGCAGGGCAGGACTGGGCAAGATGGGCCGGTCACACCGTGGTCCCTCCCCGGCATCTGCAGAGTGAGCGGGGTCCCTCTGGCAGGTGGGGTCCCTCTGGCAGGTGGGGTCCCTTGGCCTGGCTTGCGGGGATTGGGCCAAAACTGGCTCTCCGACATCCGCCGAGGGGTCCTGGAGTGTGAGAGGGCACTCTGCAAAGTTGCTGTCGTACAGGGGGTGGAACGCAAATGCAAGTGTGCAGTAAACCAGATTTAGGGCTGACAGTGACCCAGCAACAACATAACCCACGGCCAAAGGTGGAATCGCACACGGCCCCAAGAGGAATTGGGCTCATTCCTCTCTGGTTTCAGGGTGCCTCACCCGAGAACTGCTGCTGCCAAGTCACTGCAGCTTGGCAGCTCCTGCGTTGAGCGTCTGCCTCTTGGTGGTCAGTACACGTCATAGAGACCAGTCGAATGGTTGAACAGTTGCTTAGGTTTTTATATATATGGATAGTCAAAAAGTATAAAAAACCCAAATGTTCTTCAGCTAATAAATGGATAAACAAAATGTGGTATATCTATACAATGAAATATCCTATATAATAAAACCCTAACATGCAAAACGACCGAACGGTGGAACGATCGGTCACTATGACACGCACTGACCACCAGGGGGCAGACACTCAACACAGGAGCTGCCTCTTGGTGGTCAGTGCGCTCCCACAGGGGGAGTGCCACTCAGCCAGAAGCCAGGCTCACGGCTGGCAAGCACAGAGGCAGTGGTGAGAGCCTCTCCCACCTCCGCTGCAGGCAGGCAGTAAGGAGTGAGGGGTCCCAGACTGTGAGAGTCCTCAACTACAAGAGGGATATCTGATTGCAAGAGGGCACAGGCCGGGCTGAGTGACCCCCAACTCCTCCAGTGCACGAATTACATGCACTAGGCCTCTAGTTATTCGATAAAAGCTTATAAAAAAGATATATTATTCAGCTATGATAAAGAATGACGCACTGATATATGTAATAACATGGATGAACTTTGAAAACATTATGCAAAATGAAAGAGCCAGATACAAAAAACTATCTATTGTATGCTTCTATTTATAAGAAATGTCCAGAGCAAGCAAATCTATAGATACAGAAAGTACATTAATGGTTGTCTAGGCCTAGGACAGTTGGGGGAAAATGCAGGGGCGGTGATTGCTAAGGGTATGGAATTTCTTTTTGAGGTGATGAAAGTGTCCTAAATTGATTGTGAAGATGGCTCTACAACTCTGTGAATATCTAAAACCACTGAATTATACACTTTAAACAGGCAAATTGTATGGTATGAAAATTATATCTTAACAAAGCTGCTATATAGAAAACAAACTAAAACTAGAAAACTTTTAGAAAAGAACATAGAAGCAAATCCTTGTTGGACATGACACTAAAAGCATAATCC